TCTTTCAGGAGGTATGGAAAGCGGGGGGAAGGCCTGCTGGGGTGTAGGGCGTGGAGGCTTGGCGAACACCTTAACCACTGTGTCCACCACCTGGGTCATGGCTGAATTGAGTTCCTGCTTCAGTGTTTCTGCCAGCTGTTTACCTTCAGCATGCATGGAGGAGCCTGGACCTCCCGGTCCTTTGCTCCGGGCGAGCCCCTCTCTTCTTGGCTTCTCTCTGTCTGCCAGCAGGGCCTGCTCCTGAAGCAGTGCCCGCGCCCTGTCCAGGAAATGGCCCGGGTCTAGGTCAGACATCTCGTTGTCAGAGCGCAAGTCATCTCCACCCCTGTCATCGCCTCCGGTGTCAGACCTGGCTGGGCTGTCCTCAGACATGTTTCCTATGTCATTGTGGAGGTCATTGTGTTCTGAGTCGTCAGTTGAGTCATAGATCTGAAAGAACTTCTCCTGCAGCTGGCGCAGCTGTTTCTGCATGTCCTCCAGCTGCAGCTTCAGTTGCCGTCGCTCCTCCTGTTTCTGTTCCTTCCTCTGGCACACCAGCTGGGTGAAGCTCTGCTGTTGCTGCTGAGGCAGACGCTGCTTACGCTTGTTCTCTCGGCTGCTACTGCTGCACACCTCGCCTCCCCGTGGGCTGCTGGGGGCCTGCTGCTGAGACTGAGGGGGTGGGCAGTCTAGCTCCATCTCCCTTTCTCCATCCATCTCATGGTCATGCTCATGACGGGAAGAAGCAGGTACCACGACACTGGGTGAGTGGCTCATACCACGTATAATGTTCTCTACACGGGCTCGCTTGGCACGCAGGTGTTCATCATTGAGACGTTCAATGTCAAAGGTGGCCAGGCCAGGAGGACGACCAAACGGTGACAAGCACTCTTGAGGGGTGCTGTCCTGGGAGGAGTTACTGCAGGCATCCTCCTGAGGAGCGTCGGAACTTGCATTGGAGAGCCCTGATCCGGGGAAGCCAGCATCCCCTCTGTCCCCTCTTTCTCCCCTCTCGGGTCCTCCTCCATTTTTAGCCATGTTATTCTTGAGAAGTTGGGAGATAATGGTGGTGCCAGGGAAGGGCATCATTGTGTCCTCGTATGAGTTGGCCCTCTTCAGTAGCTTTCGGAGTACATTGGACTTGGACTCGCTATCGCTGGCTGATACAACGCCAGGCCCACCATGTGGCTGCACTACAGAGCACTCCATGGAGTCGGTGTCTGATCCGTGGTGAGAGTGGGAGCTCAGAGAGTTCATGGCACTGAAAATGGCTGCTTTGGCGCGGGCAATGTTATCAGTGGTTGCTGTTGTGGCTGCTGCTGTGGAGGAGGCTGTGCTGCCCACGGTCCTCTTAACACCAATGTCCACACGTCTTCGCTTGGTCTGTCTGTTCAGGAGGGAGTCGCTGTCATGGTCCGGCATCACGGGCTTCTGCTATTGGGCCATATCCCACAAACCCAGTCCTCTAGGATCAAAGCCTTTGAGAATCTGTGGGCAAAAATTCACAGATGCATGACTCACCAAAGTGAAAAATATTTTCAGAATCTAAGTCACTCGCTCATTTAGGCAGGACATGTCCTAAAACGGAAAAGCTTTAATGTTTTTGATTGAAACAATCAAAATCCATCTAATCTAGAAAATTCCATTAGCCAACAGAGTTTTGTCTAAAGCCAGCAGGCAATCACTCCTAATATGCTTCTATAAGGACAGGGATATCCACGGTTACATTTAGGCAGTAAGGACCGGTGACAGAGGGGTAAAGGGAACAGGCAAGATGGGGTCAGAATTAGGCCTTGGCTCGACATTCCAGGGCAAAGTCCTACATTTTATCCTGTCCCCTGTTACACGCCGCGCGACACTGAACCAGTTCCCACAGAACACAAAGCTGCATAAAATTATGATAATTACTTAAGTACTTGTCCTCATTTCCATTTTTGTGAGCCAACATAGGAGCTATTAACTCGTAAAATAAAAAGAAATAGGGTTATGAGTATCTAAAAAAAAAAAGTGGTGCACAAGGGGAGGTCAAGACATTGTACATGACTTTATATAAACTTTACTAAATCCTGTTAAGTGAGCTAGTTTGATCAATTTAACAAAATATTCTCATTCTAAACCATGTTTACACATTGCATAATTGTAAAATACAAGTCCTGTGTTCACAATAATCAATATAGTCATCATATCTTAAGCAACAGGGAGAGTGACACATAAAAGAAACACAAAATAGGCCTATTGATTTTGGTGCCAGCGTGAGCTCACGTCTGTGTTTTTTGTTTGTCTTTTCATCTGGCAAGGGCAGTTAATTCTGCTCAAATGAATAGGTCACAAGGGTCAACTCTGGCAAGGAGCAACTTAAAGCGCTCTTACAAAAACCCTAATGCCCCTCTGAAAGCAAAACGTTTTGTCAGTACAGGCCTGCATCAATAATGCTATGAAAGCAGCGGTGGCAGTGTCTTATTCAGAGCCATATCAGATGCATCCAATCCAAAATGTAATGATATTATCAGAGACCATTTAATCTGTGTCTCTCTTTAAAAAAAAAAAATTCTGAGGTTAGTAAATTTATAAATTTGGCAGTGTTTTTTTAAGAGCATAAAAGTGGCAAAAGTGGTGCAACAATTTACTTTTTTTTTTTTTTACACTCTTCAGGAAAACACCATCCCTTATTTTGACTCACACTGGCTCAGTAAAAAAATGCTAAAATATAAGAAATACAAATATAGAATTATTTTTTTGACTTGACTTTAACAGGTTGCAAATATGCGCAAAAGTTACACACCGATATTTAAATTTAAAAAAGTCAAATGACTGATTCAGATCTATGTTTAATTTTGCTGTGATATTCTATGACAAAGGGCATTCAAAGACATCTAATTTGAAGGCTCAGTTTCATTGGGGCAAATAACAGGGAACTCCAGTGAGATTTAAAAACATGTTCTTTAACTGATTATTTGCTTGCTTTAATCTTTATATTTCTGTATTTCTATACAAAGAAATTGTATCATCTTTACATTATTACTGATGTGAAAATACAAAAAAACAGAAAAAAGAAAAGCTTCTTTCCCATCACTTAGCCTCAGAAACATTCACACTATACACACACACACACACACAGGCACGCAAACACACACACACACACACACACACACACACACAACTTTGCTGTTGGCTTTGTTTGAGGCTGTGTAGTGTGATGCACCACACAAGTGACATGCATTGGCAGGTTTTTTCACTATGAAAAAAACATTTTGCAAAATGACGTTTTGTAAACTGGCAAGATAAAACTCTAAACGTCCAAATGTCCTGGAAGAAAATGTTTTCCCTCTAAAAACCGTCCTACTGAAGTGACACCAAGTAGTCTAAAATGAAACACTTTGATAAATGGCTTTGGCCCAAGTCTTGACAGCCACATCCAGCAGTTCAGACAAGACGTGATACATCTCCAAGAAAAAAAACTTGATCGCCTCAGGATCTTAACAATGAGCTTGAAATAGTCACCAGCACCTGTCTTTTCCGACGGCGCACCTGTCTCCCATTGCCCATGCGCGCGCACACACACACACACACACACACACACTCTCTCTCTCTCTCTCTCTCTCTCTCTCTCTCTCGTTAAAAAAACTATCAACAATTTCAAGCCATGAACCACACGAACAACGAGCTGTAGATGTTCACTCAAACTGTCATACGTCTTCACCAGATCTTTTCAACCTGTTCTCCACTGGAGAACACCTTACATTGTCTTTTAAAAACCTAAAACGAACATTTCAGTGGAAACAAAAAGTAAAACAATAATGATGATAATAAAGTTCAGATTTGAAACTTGGCCTAAATTAAAATATTGTACAGTTGCTGTAACTTCTAGGAAATAAACTTTACGTCCAACAACATTTAGCCTACGCTATAAGATGGTAAAAGTGAGACCTCGCTGTTTATTTCCATATTTGATGGTCAATGGACAGATACCAAAACCTATGAGAGACAGAGTTGCGTACACTTAACAACTAACCGGCAAAAGGGCTGCCGCAAAAGATAGACACCAACTTCACAAAACAGGACAACTGACAAGCTCCGCAACTGCCTGGACAAGGATGGTGTGTAAATAAAAAGCCATGAGGTGTTAAAATAAGATTCAGCTCAAAGGACAAAGACAATATGAGATAATAGCAAATTCACGGTTTCAACCGGAGATAGGCCTATCAAATAGGCTACAGGTAAATCTCAGTTTCTGTCTAAAATCAGCTTGTGTGCCTAAATCACGTCTCCCGTTGCAACAAAAAGCACACGCTCCCCAAAACTTACTTCGCAAAGTTGCGAATCAACTTGATCTCCGCTTTGATGAGGAAGGTTGGGCTACCGTCCGCAAATCATCCTCGCTGCTCAACACGGGCTGCTCACTAAACTCTTACCACATATCAAGACGAGGGGAGCGAAACAGAGTAAATAATGTCGTATAGATATGATTAGCAGTTGATCACCAGAATAAATTTCCCCGTTAATGATGTTTGATTTGTTTATTTTTTCCGCCCACCGTGCGCAGGCGAGGCAGAGCAAGAGAGGGAGGTATCCGAGGACAAGGTTACTTACCCTTTAGATGAAGAGGGGGACAACCTGAACTCCTACGGCAAAAAAAGAGAGAATATACGCAGAGCACGGCGGATTGCTGGATGCTGGGGTCTAACAATTTCTCAGAGAAGGAAGAGCTGGAATAAAGTCGGCGACGCGAGCGAAAGGAACAAAATAGGAAAAATATAGAAGATGAAAAGAGCTCTTGCGCGTCGGTCTCTCCCTCTATCCTCTGCTGTGAGTAAAGGAGTGAGAGACATAGAGAGAGTGCAAGAGAGAGAGAGAGAGAGACTGCGTGTGTGCGTCTCCGAGGCGCACTGGATGCAGAGGACTGGATGCTGGAGCGCTCCTCCGCCACTAAAGATTCACTTTAAGACGCGGCTGAAGGAAACAGGAAGACGTGCGCGTCACGAGCGGCGTGATGTAACTGTCGCAACCTACCAATAAGAAGCGTCCGTCCGGTCCGGAGAACAACGCTCTGAACTTGACCAGAGAACGGGACTTGAGCATGCAACTAAAGAGAGAGAGAGAGGGGAAAAGGAAATACCATTCTTACTAATCTCTTTCTTCCCAAATCACCAACTGCGCGAGTAAGAATCGTTCCGCACTTTGACACTACACTAAGCCGCAATAAAACACATAGCCCATATCTTATTATGTTAGGCTATTTATTCTCATACCCAATCTTAAATGGGAGTTTCTATAATAACTGGTAATGTGTACGTGCTGCTTGATTCCAACAGATTTTGAATAAAGTGTCAATACTTTAAAGAAATTCGAATAAACAGTCACAGGATAATAAATGCAAAGAATAAACAAAAAAAATAACTTGATATGGTTTAGAAACTAGTGAGATTAGCCTACATTTAAAAACAAGATGAATGCAACATTAAATTAGTTTTTTTTAAGGCAGATAGTTTTGTACCCTTTAAATGCAAAGCTTTTATGATACATTCCAGCTTTCCTTGTGGCAGTAAACATCCAAATTAACTTTCTATTTCTGTTAATGCATGTTTATGCGAGTCTATTTCATTAAAACGCATTAACGCTCCTACAAACCATTTTTTAATGATTAACAGCTTTGTAATTGGATTTTTTAATATGTCTGAATAACGTTTATATTTTAAACATCAGTGAGCTATATACATTTTCTTCTGCAGAGACAACTGGTGCATATTTAGACTTCAGCTTCTTAAGGGAATAACAGTAGTGGGTCACTTGGTTATTGGAGGTTCAAAGTGGCATGCAGAGATATTTTACGGGCAGAGTTTTCTCATTGGTTGCAGCAAAGTCTGATTTATGAACAAGCAAAGCAGCACAGAGGCTCAGAGCTTTGCTTAGGAATTCAGATTATCCAGGGAAGCCAATATCTGTGGACAGCTAAACGTCTCTTTGTGAAATGCACAGTGAAGAGCCGAATATCATTATGAAACGTCTGTCACTCGGATCCACAGCCTGACACTAAAATATCCCCGTGCGTAAAGACTGCACTGTCATCGCAAATGATTATGAAGTAAAATTGATAGTAAATGAAAACAAACAAAAAAATCACCTCTATGTTGGTAAATCTAAAGAGTTTCAATGAATTATTAGATTTCTCTCCCTTTGAAACTCTGAGGCTGAACCCTGAAGGCGGACAGTGACATCTGATCCTTTCCACTGAAAAACATGTTTGACGCTTCTGACTTATGAAATGATGACGGCTGCTCGTCCTCATCATCCTGCATTCGTACAAATTGGATATTTACAATTACACTGCAGTTTATGCGCTCTGCAAGTATTTTAGCCATCGACCTTTACAACAGGTGTGTACACACATTGTTTAGTTTTATTATTTAGGAAATAATAGTTTTTGTGCTACTGAAATGAATCTTTACATAGGACAATATTTTTTTAATGATGTGCAAAAATATTTCTGGATTATACAGGTCACAACCATCTGGCTCAGCCTGCGTTTCTGCAGTTAGAGAAAGTACAAGCCTCGTATTAAGCACATGTAAGAAATTACCTCTACATTTATTTCATTGCGATCGTAAAAAAATGTAATTGTGATTATTATTATTATTATTATTATTATTATTATTATTATTATTATTATTAGTGAATCAAGTACATTTATTCGTATCTGAAAATTGTTTAAAGCCAGTAAAGACACAGTTGTTCATGCACTACTGTTATCAGATCAGCGTGCTTTTGCCCTTTTTGTTTTTCCAGCTTTTCACTTTGGATTCACGGAGAATCTTCTTTTTTTATCCTCTGCACAAACAGGATCCTAAAGTACTTAACGATAAATCTTATTTTCCATAATGCTCCTCTGTCAGGTGCCAAAAGGGAAAAGGCGAGTCTCTTTTCCATGTCGCAAGCAAGTGTTTTTTGGGACGAACGAATTGCAACGAAGTCAGCAAAGTTTAGTGTCTGGAGTGTCTTTTCCAAAGCAGGTGTCCCGGCCCCCTACTCCCTCACTGGCCTGTGGCTGATCTGGCCTCGGCTCCCCTGGGTGCCGTCGGTGCGCACACAGGCTGGAAAAACAGGTCGGGACATTAAAGAAACGCATGTTTGGAAAAGGAAGACTCGGATGAGGTGTAGAGGAAACGTGCTGGTTAACACTGGCTGCTCTTATCGCGGCCCATTCCAGGTGGATCAACCCGTGTATTTATTTCAGACTCACTTTACCCCCCCTTTTGGGTCGAGTGCGACACACCTCGATGCCCAAGACTGATAATGCGCTCTGGCATTGCGCACTGATGGCTGAATTTATTGACATATTTATTAGAGTTGGGCCCAAAAGTAGAAGGAGGCAGTGAAAACAATATCTCCCTGAGGTGTTATAAAGGTGCTTTTATTTAAACACATTCTGACCACAATTATGTGAGAATAAGTGCGAGCACGCGGTGATGGTATGCCGGAGTGGAGAAGAGACAGTGGCCTATTTTTTCTTAGTAATAATTTGGATCAACGACGGTCAACTGTCTTTCCATTCTTCTTCTTCTTCTTCTTCTTCTTCTTCTTCTTATTATTGTTGCTGTTATTATGATTACATGGCTCTTTGGTCGTATTTTTGGAGCGAATTGAATGCAGAAAACATATCCAAACTGAGGTTTCCTGAATTTAAGTTAAGTGAATAAATATTATTATTATAAAGAATTAACGTTATTTGGGAGAAGAAGCAATCTCTTGAGGAGCAGCGGTTATAAAATGGCAGTAATCAGATAATGACTTGATGAGCTCCTACAATAGCTCCATATCTTTTCATATACAGTTTTTTTTTTAGAGAAATAAGAGAGAGACAGAGAGAGAGAGAGAGAGAGAGAGAGAGAGAGAGAGAGAGCTATTTGCGAAAACACAAGCCGAGAGAGATGGTAGCGCTAAAAGCTGTTTTGTTCCGGAGAGGTCTCCGGGTCCCTGAGTAAAAAGGTTTAGGAGACAAGGGAGAGGAGAGAAGAGGAGGATACAGGACTTGCCCGAGTGTAATAAGTGAGTAGGCGTCTGACTCTCAGAGCCTCTACAGTCCTTGTTGGGCCTCGTGTCCAGCACTTAATGTATTCATCGTTCACCACCAAAGATGAGGATATGTATCACACTTTTGTTGTCAAGGCCAACCCCATTTCGAAAAAGGGAGGCTGTGTGACCTGAACGTCATTTAAGAAACGTCTGTAGTAAACTAACCGAAATTTGCATACATGTTATTAGTGATATTACTTCTTGGCTGTCAGGGCTGTGATAGCTGGCACGGTTGCTGGCAGACTGTGGCCCCCGATGACCCACATCCCACTTTCTAGGCTACAAGTAGAGGTGATTATTGAGGCGTTGTGTGTGCGTGTGAGAGGCCTGTGGCTTGTTTTACGCAAGCCATTCAATGAGACATACAGACACGCGCTCGCACGCGCGCGCGCGCGCGCGCACACACACACACACACACTCTCAAATATGCTTTATTTGCATGAATGGGTATTGACCATTGTTGCAGAAGCAAATGTATGACACAATGTAAAGACAAAGTGACAGTGAAAAATGAGTACACACACAAACCAAACAACCTAATGATAACTAATCCATAACAATAATATACCATATAGCCTACACAAGCATTTCCGTGCTCTCATATTTTAGAATTTGGCTTTATAAACACATTATCTCTCTAGACCATCTCTACATTTCCCCATGGACTCGCACAAGGCCCTCACAGTCTGAGGGATACAGTAGATTATTGCAAGACTTTTCTCGATATTAACAAATCCTGTTTTCAACATGTGATAAACAACCTGTTTGGTCTAACATTAAATAAGGCTCAGTGTCTGGCATGCACAGGAAATAATAGGCAATTAAAAGAATGCTGCTCAGTGAGGCTGATGGGAATATGGCTGCAGTCAAACTCATTAAAATCACAGATATATTCTAAACATCGAAATTAGTCTTAGCCATGTGTAAAATCCTCGAACTTAGCTACATATGATATTTCTTTAGCAGAAAATAATGCAGGAAAATCAGAGTTTATTCAATATGTCTTACCAACAACCTTGAAAGTATAGCTGCACATTTTTAAAATCACTGCCTATGAAAGGGGTTAGGGTAAAGTCAACAGGAATGAAGGGCGCGCGCGCACAAACACACACAGCGCGCCTTGGAGGTGCTTGGGCGGACAGACATGCTGGGAAATCGCCTGGAACTGTATTAAGCCTGACGTCCTTAAAACAAACAATGGCACCATGAAATAAGGGCTTATGCGCTCAAAGTCAAAGAGCCCCCTCAGCAACTCTCACTGTTTATCTCTCCCTCTGTCTGACACACACACATGCACACACACACACACACGCACACACACACACACACACACACACTCACCATTTCTTGGGGGTTACACAGTCAGGCTGGCAGCTCCATTGGGAGGGGACCAACTTTGCTCCTATGAACTCTCACCTGTCAACATGGAGCAGAGGACTTTACTTGGTAAACACGAAAGGACTTTAGCTGTTTACTTCTGGCGGTAACTTAGCCTATTTTATTCACTGCAAGGCCGCGGTCACAGCTGGTTCTGGTGCTTTGAGTGCGTTTCAAGGCGAGGTAAAAATCCACGCCAAACTCCGTTATATTAGGTCACAACTTTAATGAGGCCGTTCTTGGGCTGCATATTTTGTTAGATAAGAGTAGGAAAATATTTTGGCAACGTGTGCTCCGTTCGGTAGACATCCGAGTTAGCTTGATTGGATAAATGTGACATGTGGATCAGATTTTAGATTTTGTCCACACTGCCCGGTACTGCCCCACGGTGTGCCATGTTAACATATGCCTCAGGTAATAACGGGTTAACAGTTATAAAAGTTGTAAATTAATTAAAATGAAAATGAAAATGATTTTTATGTTATTTAAAGACGGCGGAATTTAAGAATGGTTTTCAATGACTCATGTAATGTCTTAAGTGTTTTTCCCTGATGTATGGATTTTTCTGGCCACAAACATGCAACTTAAGTTAAGAGTGTGGCAGGACGCTCTCAAACACATACAGGGTGCAGGTCTCTGCGTTTTTCCTTTGTAGATTTCCATGGCCATAATCCTCCAGTGTGACTATAGGCTACTGCTAAAAAAAAACAAAAAAAAAAAACACAGGCCGTGGAAGATAAGCGGCGGTCTGTTTTCGCTCCTCTGATCAGCGGTAATTATATTTGTTGGCGTGGATGTAAGTGGTCCTCCCCGGGGGGCGTATTGTACTCGACTCACTCCGTGTCATAAAATAAAATTACAAGGAAAGGAGAAGATATCCTACAACAACAGAGGCGAGTCCTACAATCAAAGAGTAGCTAAATTAAATCTGAAGGGAAAAAAACCTTCATGGAAAATGCATTAGAGGTATGATGGACGGGGGTAGGGGGGCTTCAAATAAAACGCAGGTTAATGAGTTTTTAATAGCTTCTACTACTATATGGTTGTTTAACAGGCACACACACACACACACACTCACTCACACACACACACACACACACACACACACACACACACACACACACACACACACACACACACAAGGCTTTCTCTAGCTGACTGAGGCAATTAAGTGTAATTAGTGATCAGCTGAGCTTCAGCCTTTCTGCACCATCCCCAAATACTATAAAGAGAGGCGTCTATAGGGTATGAAGTGACATGTACAAGGCTTAAGTAGCTTTAAAGTGCCTCTCTCACCACAGCATTAGTCTCCAGTTATAAGTTTAGCTCTCTGCAACATTCTGCTCTCCTGTTACAGCAGTGGACATTCACACATCTTGTACCTGTTGGCACCCTTTTGTCTGGTTTATGTATCTGTGTAATCTTTGACCCCCAGTGTGGATGTTTGGGCCTTGCACCCAGGAGGCCGTCACCACCAGAGGGGCCTTTCGCTGGTGACCTCTCTTGACCTCTCGCTGACCTTTCACACTAGGCTGCCTTGGGGGAGGTCAGGGGGAGGGTAACGCTATTATAATTGGCCTGTAAATACATACAGACAGAGACTCAGACAAACACACACAGACTGAGGAGAGCATTGTGTTCTGGGCACTTGTTGATTGAAAATGAAATCTTTAGTTCTATGAAACTGAAAATTATTCCAATGGCGGAAGGTACTTTCCTTGAGTATTTCCTATTTCTTATACAATTTTAAGCTACTTTTATACTACTTTATACTGCCATGCTGCTACATTTTAGAGGGAAATAGTGTACTTTCTTTCTCTACTGCACTGTAAAACACACAGGAATTTAGTTCTCATTTATTTAATGTAAATATATAGATTATAAGTTAGTTCAACTTAACGTTTCTGGTTTTTATTGTAAGACTGCTTCAGAACTTCTGAAGTCTTTTAACTTAAAATGATGAGTTGAATGAATGCACTGCTGATTGTGATCAGTATATTAGCAGACTTCCCAGCATGCAAACTCACTTAAGCAGCTATATTGTCTTTTTACTATCGCTGGTACAAAGTACAAAGTAGGTCCCACGGGAGAAGCTGCTAAAAAGCTGCGAAAACTATATTCTTTGTAGCAAATGAAGAACTGATTCTTCCAACTGAGAAAATGGAAATGGTAAAGAAAATCCTACTGTAACATTTGCCAGTGTTGATTCAACTCTATTTACTATAATATAAATAATATTAAGTTTATAAGACGTGTTTTCTCAAGTTCAGTTAGCTTAACTCAGTTGCTTTTACATTTTGAACTGGTGACCTATCCAGGGTGTACACCGCCTCTTGCCCAGTGTCAGCTAGGATTGGCTGAATACTTCTTCTATGACTGTGTATTTAATTTTTTCAATTAGTGCCACTCGCCATGGCATTTTGATTACAGTTCTGTGCATTGCCTATAGGATCCAGGATTTTTTATATAGTGTAATGTATGTGTGTAGTTTGTAATTAATCAGAGTAGCTTGACCATATCCTCTGTTGGGCCATGCATGAACGTACTTCAACCACAGGTTAAAAAACAGCAGCCTATAAAGTGCTCACAAGTGAATGCACACACACACACACACACATAAAACTGCTACACACAAGTGAGGCCATGCACACTCAAGTACATACTGTGTACATGCACAGGCTTACATTCATGTAAAATTACTCCCGGCATTTTCAAAGACTTCCCTGTGGACAGAGGCGTCTGCCAGCGCTGCTATAAATCACGTTGAGGCTGGTGCTGAGGGCAAGGCACACCTTGTCGACGTCGCCCCCACTCCTGGGCTGAATAAACCATAACATCCTGCCTCTCGTGCTGCCCGACGCCCTCTGAGCACGACCCTAGAGAAGACCCCCCCCCCCCCCCCCATCTCTCCCCCTCCTCCTCCCTTCCTCCATCTCATCTCTCACCCCATCCCTGCCATTGTTCATCCTCCTCTTCTGTTGTACTTCTCTATCTTTAGGAATTTTTTGCTGTTGCAATGGACGTTTGGGCCGGGCTCTGCTTGTTTGGAACAACACTCAACCCACTCCCCCATCTTCATTCAGCTCTTTTTTCTCCATCCCAATGACTTCCTGCTTGAAGAGTGGGATGAGAGAAAGAAAAAAGGAGAAAGAGAACAGCAAAACAGCAGGAAGCAAGCGTTTAACAGGAGGATGCCGACACCCTCATCCTGTCGTGTGCCGGCTTGGTTCAGGTGCTCTGGGCCAATCAGCTCCCTCTGCTCCATTTACCTCAGGGTGTGCCGAATTTGGCTGAGAAGGTGCACCTTTCCATCATGACCCCCTCTGGAGGAAGTATAATGTTTCTGGAAAGAAAAGGAGGTCCGCAGGAGCCAAGTGTACAGGCTCATAATAGAGCGTTAAACCCCCTCACCACCCAACAGAGACATAAAAGTGAACAAAGAATAAAGAATGCGTGGAGTGTTAGGTTATGTGCTGATTATTTCCCTTGATTTTTACTGCTGCAGAGGGAGAAGCTAAGCAAACAGTCCAGCCCAGCGTTTGGTTCTTGGCATTCCACTTGAAGGTCTTATTATAGACAAAATCAGACAAAACCCACTTTGGAAAAGAAAAACCCTGCTGTGTGTTGCTTGGCATGCAACCACACAAATGATTACCTCCTCTAAAATTGAATTTCCATGTAAAAGGGTCACTATTGCCAATAAATTCACTGGTATGCAACATTGTGTTTTAATTAAAAAAATCGCTTTATTAGAGAAAAGAGACACATGTTTTGAGTGTCTAAATTCTAACTTTGGAAGAAAACTGCTCTTTTGGTTACCTACAAAACACGTGCACACACAAATATTTATTTTCATGTGGGCACACACAAACACACACACACACACACACACACACACACACAGATCCAAATCTCTTCCTAACCCCTTGTATGCTTGGGTACATCCACCAGAACGCCAGAGGAGCCTTGAGAGGACAAGAATAGCGAGGCATGTGCCTATTTGTGGCATCATTGTTATACAGATATAAGATCTCACTGTTCACCACTCACACACACACACGCACACAATCGCACACATGCACACATGCATGGGCAATCATGCATTGCATTCATTACCATAACATACAGTCAAGGGGAAATATTTACTCATACACACTAGCCAGTACCACGTGGTACAACCACAAAAAACTCAAATATCCACCCAGAGATTCTCTCTCTCTCACGTGCACACACACATGCACTTGCACACTGTGGCCAACACACTCACTGGACACTTCCTAGAAGAGACAGTGAAGTAATCTCCTCTTTATACACCCATAAGCAGCTCCTTTCACTCGGCTTCACTATGCCACACCATAACTCCATGCCTTAACCATTGGCTAACCTGGCTATAAATGAGCCACAGTCGCACCTGTGCCGGTACAGATCCAGTGCTGGGACAGAGGAGAGTCCAATAATAGGACGCTGTGCCTTTTGTTCTGTTGGTATGAGTAACTGCTCTAAGAATAATGTGCCCTCCTCCGTCCTGTAAAGGTTCTGAGACAGACGGAGGTGCGGCTTGTGTTTCAGGGAAAGTACCTGTGGGACGAAGGAAAAATAATATTTTGCAAATAAGATTACCCGAAGTTCGCTATCTTGGGAAATTACTGTGGAGGTTTTAGTGTAAGTGTTATCTGTGGTTACTTGAAAAGGGCTGTAATTTGTCTATTATCTCTTGTCATCATCAGTTTGCTGTAATAGAAATTTTGATGACCTGTACTAGAGAAATTGATTAGATATGGGGAAATGTATATTATGTATAAAGATGTGAATGGCTTCTGCTGTATCATAGTCAGGTAACACGAGGAACCTCAGAGGTCTTCACAGTTAGCCAACTTTGTGTGGGCGATGCGGGTTATCCGGTAGTTGAGATTGGTAGGATCTTGAAGATGGGCCCTGCTCCTTATACCACATGTGTGAATAACTGGATCTGTCCGATACTTGGAGACACCGAGTCTGAACCGCTTCTCAATATCTCCTCATATGACATGTGTAATGTAAGACTATTGAAGGACATCCGCAGACACAAAGAAAAGCTTCTTTTGGCATGGCATTGTGTCCATTTATACATATGTACCTTCTCTGATATCAGATTTGTGTTGTAATAAACCACATATGAAGGTAAGGACAAAGTTTTTATTCTTCTATTCATCAAAGAGAAGATTGGACAGAATGCACAGTTTTCATCATAATTTAAAAAGTTTTCTTGTTACAGTCATGGATCTTCTGACTTTGGTGATCCCTTGACTTTTCATCCAGCGTCACTATACTTTTCATTTAATGCCACCATCATGGCAACATTTTTATCTGTCTTTTTGTGCAAACTGCTAAATGTTAGCATGCTAACACGCTAAAACTAAGATGGTAAAAATGGAAAAAATGACACCTGCTAAACATCAGCATGTTAACATTGTCACTGTTAGCATTTAGCTCAAAGCCCCCACGGTGCCTAAGTACAATATCACAGAGTCGCTAACATGTTTGTAGACTCCTAATTTAGACTTTTTGATTCAAAAGAGAACAGGATCATGAGTGTATTCAAGAAGGACAAAGAACGGTAATCATTTTATTTTGGGGCTTGTGCATAAAAAAAGTGTTGTCTGTTTAGGGGTTAACCATAAATTCTATAATTTTAATAATGCAGCAGAAATAGTCACCGCTTCTTATCCTGAGATAAACTAGGCCTACTTATCGTGTATAAGGGAAACTAGTCAAAATTACTTTAAATCTGCTTTAATTTTAGTATTTTTTTGACGTGTATCATAATTAGACCAGCTCGTAATTATTAATGTTACAATACAACGTCAAAATTTTTGTTTCAGTATCTACAATACAATTCTATAATTCAGTTAATCTGTTTTAGTCGCATAGTGATTGTTGTTTTACTAACACCCCAACCCAACACACACAAAGACTGCTGTTTTCTGTGTCTTTAGCTAAGCCAGAGTACAAGTGATGCCCAGGGCTGTTCCTGATCCTCCTGGCCTTTTCCTTGCAGGAATCTCCTCTTCCTGTGCGGAAGTTTATCATGGTCAGCCTGCCTGTCACTGACGCCTCCCAAAGCAAAGTGACAGTGGCTTTATTCACCCGCTGACCCGTAAAGAGGACAGCGGAAGAAAGAAAAAACAAGTACGTGTGTATGTGTGTGTAACCTGACTAAGGGTTTCTTTTCTCTCCGGTAAGGAGGTTCGCTGAATCTTGTACAATCAGCACAACCCCTGGGTATGTGTGTGTGTGTATATGTGTGTGTGTGTGTGTCATGTGTTTGTGCATCCAGTGTCACGTCCTTTAACTAACTTTACCAACATGAATACATCTTCCCTCCCTCTTTCAGCCTCTTTTGTGTGTCCAGATAGAAAGAACCCAACAAATCCAACAATGTCCCTAGCGAAGTCCTTTTATCTGCACTCTAAACAAAAAGATCAGTTCTTATTTTTATTTTTTTTTGGTCTTTCCATCTCAAAGTTGAGGCACTGCAGCCTTGTAGAGAGAGAACAAGACAGACAGATAAAAGCATGGAGAGATGATGCCCATCTGCTCCGATGATCTCTCTCCAATTTTGTTTGGCATCAGCCTTTTCTCCATCCCATTCTGGCCCCATCAGCCCCAGAGGACCCAGGCACTGGCCTTTTCTTGACCCAGTTTAGGACTTCCATTCTGGGCTTTCTGATCCGTCCACTCTCCCTCTGTGTGTGTGGGTCCAACAGAGAATCCTGAGATTATCGGATGGTCACTTAAGAGGGAACGAGAGAGAGCGAAGTGCTGTCCACTTAGCTGAAGATTATCCTTTAAAAGGAAGGGATGGCGCTGGAGATGGAGGAGAGAAGGAGAAAAAAGGATGTGCTTAAGAGATGGATATAGAGGGGGTGGATGGAGGGAGAGATGGCGAGGACAGTCAGAGAGATAGAGAGAGGGCAAATGAATCACATGGAGATAAAGTGTGTGTGGGAGAGGGTTAACAAAAAAGTGAGGAGAGAAATACTGCATAGAGGGAAACGTTTAAATGAAAAGCTGAGATGGAGGCGAGGTGACAGAGTGAGAGAGAGCGGAGGAAGGTCGGAGAGAGGTAGAGATGGAGAGATAAAGAGAAGAGGAAGCAGGAAGGATGAGGACAAGAGCTGGATTAAGCAGTAAAAACAGCATTTGTGAAGTACTCTCTGACCAAATTGACGACCTTTTGCTGTGCCTTTTATGGGTAATGGGATGTGTATGCCAGCATGTATGTGTCAAACATCAACAGCACAAGTTGCAAGCTACAGACTTTAGTTGAAGTTTAATTAATGTTAGGGGAATATTTATATGTAGCCATCTTTCTAATTTAATGTCTTACAGAGTTTGAGACGATTAATGTAATTTGCTGAGATCAGTGATCACAGCGACATTACTACAAAAAAGTCTAATGGGGCAAGAAATACGAGCAAACAGACAATCATACAGTTTAAACAAGCCAACAGATTAGCCCAATTTACATGCAAACTAAATTTAAACCTACATTGGTACAATTAATAAGATTTTTGGCCAACAAGTTGATGTGGCAAATGTGTTTGCAAAAAATGGACTCATTAACACGTCCATCAGACATGGAGCAACATTAGCATCCATTTGGAGTCATGTTGCAGATTTTTGAGGGGTTTTCTGAAAACAGCTGCCGCTGCATCTGAAAACGACAAGAGTTCGAAGATCTGAGGGGAAGTTGAGAGTCAGTTGATCTGTGAGTTTGTCACTATGAGCGACCGCTTGTTGATATAAAAATATCAATTATAGCAGCTTTAAAGGTAAAAATAAAAGTGAGTGCTGCCAAAATGCCAGTAATAACCCCTCATTGCACAGTAAAACTATGTACACACAAAAACTGAACAAGAAATTTGGTCCCTAAACTGTGAACTGTTTTACTGCCCCCTTAATTTTCTCTTTCAAATAAGTTTAACCAACCTGGAGGTTTGTTTTACACTTGTCTCATCATCACAATGCTTATGTTCCTTGATGCGTCTGACTTCTTTTCAGCAATTAACATCATGGTCATAAAGTTATTACAACCTATGGGAATGATGTTAAAATTAGGTTATAATTTATGTACATTGTTGTTTATTGGAGTTTGTCACACTTATTCAAACGGTTATATGGGACAAGGCTTAAGTTCAGCTTGTTTGAGGCTTACACACATGAAAGAAATATTCTTATTTTGTTTTAAAGCCCACAAAATCCCATGTATTAGTGTTTTTGAGGTAAAAATGATAAGTGTAAATGAAAATGAGTGGGCTGAAAAACACGTACAAAGTCTGTTATTTAATCTAGTTTCAGTTGTTTTCCTCTGTTTTTTAATGTTTATTGTAAATTGTGGCATAAATTAGCAAAGAAAACTGTTTCTGAAGTCAGTTTCTGTTGTTTCACTTGCAAATTCGACACAACTCAAATTGCATGTCTACCTATGTTTTGTCCACTGTATTTTGTCAGTCCTTCAGTGTTTTTTTGGGACTACAAAGATCACAAAAGCATCTGTGTAGGGCAGAGAAAGAAATACTGTATGAGTTGTCTGTTTCCAGTTTTACCTGCAACAGGTATATTGTATCTTTCTCCAGAGGTTGCTAAGGAAGAAAAGTGTTGATGTAGCATAAATGCAAAACACTAGAAAATTCCAACACATTCAAACTCCACCCATTCATGAATTTATATGTGTGAG